CATGTGTAAAAAGTTGCATTTGCATGATAGATGGCACTATGTTAGTCCTGTAGGTAGGAAGGGAGGCTTGTTTTTTACTTGGTCTGAGAATATTTCTCTGATAGAGTTAAACAGCCTTGATTTTTGCATTGAGGTGAAATTTAAGTTTAAAAACTCACCTGATTATTTCTGGGCCATATTTGTCTATGCTAGTACTGAGTCTGAGACCAGGAATAGACAATGGTAGATACTCACCAGGCACAACATTGGCTGGGGGAGTATGTGGTTTCTCTATGGAGATTTCAATGACATATTGGATCATTCTGAGAAAAGGGGGGTCTCAGGAGAGAGGAATCAAGCTTTAATAGCTTCAGACATTTTGTTAGAACCTTAGATGGTGTGGAACCTAGCTCTGTGGGGGTATCCATTTACATGGTCTAACAATAGGAGTGGGGATCAGTTTATTGAAAAGAAGCTGGATAGATTCCTAGTTTCTCCCTCCTGGTTTCTAACCATCCCTAACTCTCATGTTTAGCACTATACTTTGATATCTTCAGATCATTGCATGTTGTTGGTGGATTGCTTTGATGCATCTGTATGTCACAAAAAAAGATTTGTATTTGATGCCAATTGGGTACATGCTGATGACTTTATTTCGGTTGTTGAATCTACTTGAAATGTTGCTGTTTCTGGACATGCTTTATTCAGTATTCAAGATAGATTGAGACATGTTAGAATGAGCTTATTGAAGTGAAATCAAGCTAGGAAGTACAATGCTAAACAAGTGATCGATAAGTGTAAATCTAAGTTGAGTTCTCTTAGGGTGTTGGGAGGGACAGAGACTGGAGAGAGTGGGTTGCTTGAAAAAGTGAGTTGAACTTAGCTTATAAATGTGAGGAGAGATTCTGGAAGCAAAAAGCTAGGGTCCAATGGCTTAGAGAGGGGGATCATAACTCAAATTTTTTTCATACATGTGTCACTCAGAGAAGGAAGAACAACAACCTTAAACATATCTTAAAATCTGATGGGTCCAATTGTCTTAATTCTCAGGATACTCTTGATGAGTTGTTATACTATTTTGATGAGATTTTTAAATCCTCTAATCCTTTGGACCAAGTTTGTAATTTGCATGGTATTCCTAGAACTATTACTGATGAGATTAATGCTGATTTAGTGAAGAAAGTGGAGGAGAAAGAAGTTGAGTCTGCTGTTTTTGACATGAATCATGATAAAGCTCCAGAAGCTGATGGCTTTACTACTCTATTTTTTAAAAAAACTTGGCATGTCATTAAATTCCATGTTTGTCTTGCTATGGATAATTTTCTTACTTGTGGGAAAATGCCTAAGGGGCTTAATCATACTATTATCACCTTGAGTCCTAAGAAGCAGAATCCCACTAGAGTAGCTGATATTAGTTAGACCTATAAGATTATGCTTTGTAGTTTATAAAATTATTGCTAAGGTGATAGCTAATAGGTTGAAACCAGTTCTCTCTTTATGCATTTCTAGGGCTCAGTCTGCTTTTGTTCCTGGTCGACAACTTTTGGATAATGTGATAATTGCTAATGAGTGCATTAATTTTTTAAATAGCAAGAGAAAAGACAAACAATGCTATATGGCTTTAAAGTTGGACATGGCCAAGGCCTATGACAGAGTGGAATGGTCCTTCATTGCTAGAATATGTAGACAGATGGGATTTTGTGATACATTTGTTTCTTGGGTGCTTGCTTGTGTTTACTCTACCTCTTACTCTTCTAATATTCAGGGTGCTTGTCTAGGCTTTCTTCAACCTACTAGAGGTCTTAGACAGGGTGATCCCTTATCACCCTATCTTTTCATTCTCATCTCTGAAGCCTTTTCTAATTTGGTTAAACAAGCATGCTTATCTGGTGAGTTTATAGGGATCGGAGTGGCTAAGCATGCTCCAATTATTTCCCATTTGCTATTTGTTGATGACTCAATTATCTTCTGTAAAGCTGATATTATTCATGCCAATCTGATTGTGTCTATCCTTGCTAAATATGGCCATGACTCTGGTCAACTTGTCAACTTTGAGAAGTCCTCAATTTTCTTCTCCAAAAACGGTGTCTATATGTTCAGTGCTCTCTGGTATTTCCAAGGTTCAATCTTCTAAGTACGTAGGCCTCCCCTTGGGCATTGGGAGAACTAAGAGAGATACTTTTCTTTTTGTGAGTGAGTGTGTTCAAAATAGAATTAGAAGTTGGAAGAATAAGTTTCTTAGTGAGGTTGGGAAGGAGGTGTTAATCAAATCAATGCTTAATGCCTTACCCACCTACATCATGTCATGTTTTAGAATTCCAATTTCTATCATAAAAAATATCTGCAGGGATGTTGCAGCTTTTTGGTGGGGCAAGAATGAGAGTGGGAATGACAAAATTCATTGGGCAGGGTGTGGAAAACTTACAAAAGAAAAAGAGTGTGGGGGGTTGGGCTTCAAGGATTTAATTGCTTTTAATGAGGCTTTGCTAGTCAAACAGCTTTGGAGGTTTATCACAAAACCTAACCTGTTG